TGCTTCAAGACATTAAATAGCAAAATCCTGTCAGAAGCACCAAGATTCATATTAAAACATTTCTCTACTTGTTATGTTATACTTACCATAAGGCTTCATAAGAGGCAACAATTCTGTGCAAATATTCCTGGTTCCAAAAAAGTTTGTCTTCAGCGTAACCTCTGCTTGGACTGCAAATGGAGTTCTGTCACTAACTTTTTTTTTTTTTTTTTAAAGTGGTGATAGCAAAGGAGAAAAGGGAAAAAAAAGAATAAAACAGAATTATACTACTGTTGAAAGGAAGTTACTGCATGAACAGAAAACCCCAGAAGTTTATCTTATGGCTCCCCAACCAGTCCACTGACTTACGTCTTCCCATCCATTCCACCTCTCCTCTTAAACACATGGCAATGTACTTTGTCACTAACCTGATATATGTGGGGAGGGCATGGGAGAAAGGGACAATCAAGCGGAAAGGAGATCCTGAATCTAGGATACTGACACTGAAGATGCAGAATTTAACTACCACCCCTTAACAGCATTCAGATTCAAAACCAGGGCAGACAACAGCTTCCACAGCCTAACTCATTTGTCATCATGTCTTTTGGGTTCTCACCCAGGACTTGGTCAAAACAGCAAGACACACTGTAGAAGATTCTATAAGAACAGAAGGATAACATTTGGTGCAGTCCAAAAAAAAAAAAACAAAAAAAAAAACAAGCAACCTTCTGATAAATACAAGTGTCATAAATAATTCCCCTGAGCTGACAGATCTATTTCCTATTCTTTTACTTCTGTCAGCAAAGCAGTTAGCAAAGAACTGGAAACTGACATAAGTAGTCTTAAGCAGACCACAGAACTGCACTTAAGGCTGCAATTTCAGACAGAACTGACAGCCTGCCACCAACAAAAGTGGGGTAGGACATGCCATCAGCTGACAACCTGGCTTACCAGTAAGCTATATGGTACGCAACCTCTACTTTGCAGGGAAATAAGTTGAAGTGTCAGTACTTCTCCTGATCTGCTACAGGCTCAATCTAAGCAGTAATAAAGGCCACCTATACAGATGTAGTAGGTCTTCGCTTGTCTCCAGAGCCCAGACCTATGTAAATTCCAAAGGGAAGCAGCAGCAGGTCACTGCTTCCACAGAAGTTCACCCAGAATGCTGGTCATGAGTACATATTCATTGCATAAAGGGACATTTTTCAGTGGACTAAGGACTTCAGACTATGTGTAGCACAGTACAAAAACAGCAGTTAATTAAGTGATTAATCTTTAACAGCAATAACAAACAGTACTACAATAAAGAAAGCATAAATTCTGGGATGTCAGCAAAAACTTAACAAGCCAAGCTTCAGTACAAATGCCAAAATATGAGATAAGCATCACAGTGATTACACAGGTGTTAAACCCTCTACCCTCTGTACTAGATACTTAACACAACAACAGTTATAAACAGCTTCTCTATCACAATTCTTAACCATATGACCTACTGCTGGCTCACTGTGAGTTGTAAGCATGAAGTCAAGGCAGAGCAACTGGAAACAACTTCTAAACAGAAGATCTATGATGTTACAAGAAAAGCAACAGAAACTTCATCGCTCATGCCTTTTTTACCTACTTGTGGACATGGCACTTAGGGATATGGTTTAATGGTGGCCTTGGTCATGGTTGATGATTGGACTTCACGACCTTAAGGATTTTCTCCAACCTAAATGAGTCTATGATTTATCCATTAAGTGAGTACACAACAATAATTTTAAGATACCCCACACAAGCTATAGCAAATCTTGCTACAGTGCTGTCAAGCTTGTGAAGGCCAAGTTGTTGCTGATTTCACAACAAAACACTGCACTTACGTTACAGCCCAGTCTAGTTTAAACCCACTAACACCAGCAGGCTGAGCTAAGGATCTCATGACTTAGAGAAATGCTGTTCTGAGTACCTGCAAAGTTTTTGCATGATGTACTTGGATTGAGACCACTGCTGTAAGATTTTAGCACCTATTTGTCCACAGTTCAGGATGCACTCATTTATAGTAACAGCTGCCCTCTACTGGGCTGATGATTAATACAAACAAGGGGAGATTTAGATTAGATGTCAGTAGAAGTTTTCACTGAGAGAGCAGAGAAGCACTGGCACAAGCTGTCTGAAAAAGCTGTGGATGCCCCATTCCTGGGCATGTTCAAAGCCAGGTTGAACGGGGCCCTGGTAAGCCTGAGCTGTTGGGAAGCAGTCCTGCCTTCAGCAGGGGGTTGAAGCTGGGTGAACTTTGAGATTCACTTCAATCCAAACCACTCTATTATTATGCAGAGTACCAAACAAGATACAGCAGCTGACTGGACTACATGAGCAGCAAGTGAGGTTTGATCCACACTAACTGACAGGCTGCCTTAACTCAAACTGTGAGCAGGTGAACTAATACTTATGCTGTGCTTGAATAGCGTAACATGTCTTAGCTAGAGATCAGGCAAAGAGTTTTTTAAAAAGTCTAGAAGACACAGAATGAGCAAGTTTGTACTGGCAGAGAAATGAACTAGTAGTCATGCTCATGACCTGTCCCATCTGGAGCTAACTTGATTTTCAATGATTTTTCATAACTACAAATAGAACACACTCTGCTACCTTACAACTGCTGTGCCTTCCTCACTTCCACTACTTTTCCACTGCCCCAGGAGATGAAAGGATTTAACTCCTGCTCACCACAGCTAGATTTAGGTTAACTGTTCTACTGGTGAGCAACTGACCTGAGAAAGTTAAACAAAGAAAACAAACACCCATCCCCAAGGTTCTCTTTAACCAACTGAACTTTTGAGCAGATAATGCTTAGAGCAAAGTATGAAGCTTGCAGAAGACAGAAAACAATATCCCAGAAGAATATGGCTGACATTCATGCAGATAACGTGCTCCCGTGGGCCTGATGGAACTCAAAAGCATTGCAGCAACAAACCCAACCGTACACTTGAGTACTTTCATGTTTTGTATGTGATGCAAATAAAATACTCCAGGGAAGCATCTTTACACACAGTTAACACAACAAGCACTGGATGAAGAGTCATTTCACACTACCTTCTTGTCATGCCTTGGGTGATGATAGGCAGCTTATTCAGCCAAAAAAACAGCCCAGAAGTTCCATATAAAATAGCTTTATGAAATTCTTGCTGCATATACTGTACTTTGCCATGTAACTTCATACCACGCATGACTAACATGACTATCCCAAACAGCCCGATTCCTACCTTTGAAAGCAATCCCTGCATTGTTAACTAACACATTCAGACCTCCATACTTCTCCTTTAGGAAGTCCCGCAAGGCTCGAATGCTTTGCAGATCATCGATATCCAGCTGGTGGAAGAGTGGATGCAGCCCTTCCTCCTGGAGCTTTGCCACTGCTTCCTGACCACGGGCAGGGTCTCGGGCAGTAAGGTACACATCCCCCTTGAACTGCTTGCACAGATCTCGCACAATTGAGAATCCAATCCCTTTGTTGGAGCCAGTCACCACAGCCACAGGCACACTGGACATTGTCTTCTCTGGATGGATCACAAAGCAACAGTCACTGCAAATGGCAAGGAGGAAAGTTTCAGGGAATCATTGTGTGGCTTGGGTTGGAAAGGGCCTTAAAGAACATCTAGTTTCACACCCTGCCATGGGCAGTTAGGCAATGCTTCACACCTAGGACAAAAGTGTATATCTAAATATGAACCAGGTTGGTTTTTTTTTTTTTTCCCTTAAAAATTCTATTCAGAATTCCTCTTTGAGTTATGCAAGTCCATGTTGTAAGTGTACATTAATTAACTTAAGTAGCACGAGGCTTTGGCAAAGAACTGCATTAGGTGGCAATGTTTTACAGAACGCCCAACCAGCCTCGTCACTGAGTAACTGCACCGTAGCGTTATGTTAGCTGCTGATAGGAGGGATTTTGGCACATCCACCTCACAGCAAGACTATCCCTTTCTTGTGAGGACAGGTAGCTGATTCAGCGCAAGTATTGAGGCAATTCAAGTTGATAACAAGGGCTCGCTAAAGGGTGAGGAACTGGGTCCGCTCACTTTACACTTAATTGTTATTTCCCTTCCAAACAGGCTCGTAGCTCAACCCTGAGCAAAGAAACCTAAGCCAGCCCCCAAGACCCGCACGTAGCACCGAATTCGCCGGACAACCGCCTGCCAGCCACCCCACAACCACCCCAGGGCAGCTGCCCACCCCGCGGGCCAAAGGGACAGACCACAGCGCCGCAAAACCCAGAGAACCCCTCTGGGGCGCGCACGAGGGGCTGCAGCCCTCCCCGACCCACCTCCAGCAACACGCACCTTCCCCCACGCCTCAGCTCAGCGCTGCAACGAGCCCACCGACCAACAGCAACCGCACGCAGCGCGAGGGAAGGCGGGCGCACCTAAAATGGCGGCGGGTGGCCCCGCCTCCCGCGGCGGCTGGGGCGGGTCGGGTCGGACTCGGCAGCGGCTGTGGAAGTTCGTTCCTCCTCTTTGCCAGGTGGGTATCGTGTGACCGTTTTTGCTGTCTCTCTCTGGAGGGAATCGGGAGCTGGAGGGAAGTGGGATTCCCCAGTCGTAGTCAGACGGGCCGATGCAGTACGGCTGTCGAACACGCGGTGTTACTGCGCCGTGTGGTAATGGGCTGCTTGGGGGTGTTCTCTGTGTGGTCAGGTGCCCCGATTCTGCTGCTTTTGTTACTTTCAGAGAAGCCACAGAGGCAATTTATGCAGTCTTCTCTAATTGTAATACATTTGCTGTGTGAAAACAGTTCTAATTCTGTGTTCATAAGGACCCAAGTCCCATTTCCTGTATACTGTTATGGGCATACGTTGGCCCATGTGATGCTGCAGATATGGGCTTCTCCTCTCCCCTCACCCCCATCACCTATGTTCATTTATGGCTTTGCTTGTAGTCTTGTAGGGATTGTTCCGTCTGAAGAAAAGGAGGCTCAGAGGAGACCTCACTGCTCTGTACAGCCATTTGAAAGGAAGTTGTGGTGAGGTGGGGTTCAGCCTCTTCTCCCAGGTAACAGTGACTGGACGAGCAATATTGGCCTCGAGTTGTGCCAACGAGATTCAGGATAATATTAGGAACCATTTCTTCTCAGCAAGAGGGGTAAGGCAGTGGCACAGGCTGCCCAGGGAGGTGGTGCAGTCACCGTCCCTGGAGGTGTTCAAGAGCCGTGTGGATGTGGCACAGAGGGATGTGGGCAGTGGGCATGGGGGGGGTGGGCTGATGGTTGGACTGGGTGATCTTAGAGGTCTTTTCCAATCTTAAAGTTTTTTGATTCTATGAAAAGAAACATGCAGTGCTTGAAAAGGTCATTACACATTTTTAAAATAAATATATTTTTAAATCAGACAGTATAAATAAGGAAAAAGCGGTTTTTTAGTATGAAGAAAAGCAGAGGCCGGACAAGTCGAAAGAGAAGAAGAAAACACTTGCAGAGATTTATGTATGGAGGTACTATCCCTGGAAGTAATGCTAAATAATACCGTAATCAGTTGTCTAAGTATCACCTTATGGTTTCACAAACATCTTTGTGCTTTGAAAATAACATTTGTAAACATTACTTTTTGTGTGTGTTAATTTACAGTTCCAGTCAGAGGATGGTGAATATTGTGAGCTTTGTTTTCTGAGTAGTGGAAAGCATAGCCACCTTTTCACATTCTTTGCCCCTTGCGTATGTTGAATAAATCCTATAGTTCTGAGAGCTCCAAGTATCCGGACGCCCACAGCTTAGTAAACTAAGGAGAGACTTACTTGCCATTCTATTACACTACTCTAAGAAGTCCAAAATACAGGGATTTTTTTTCTGAATGTACAGTCAATGTTTTTTGTTTCTTTTGTTTTAAAATGAGATAATATAGCATTCATCCCCTTTTCATTTTTAGTCAACTGCAGTCACAAACTGGAATACATTAAACTTAAGAAGTGGCTCAAAGACAGAGGATTTGGAGACGGTAGTTTAAGGCCAGCGCAGTTCTGGGGTAATGTTTTAATGATTTATTGATGGTACTTACATCTGATTTTTGTAGGAATGTTGGGTTCCTTCTTCTGGTTTGAGTCTCACACATGGCTAGCATCGGGAAAAAGAGCCCCTTACCCTTAGTCCTCTAAAGACTTTCTGCAAATGCATGTGAATGTCATTTGACATGAACTGTTTACTGTTTCTTATATAAAGATACTCCTTAAATGCTGAGTAACTTTTCAAGAAGAATACTATCTTTTAAGTGTTTACAGTATTAGAACCCAACCTTGGTATCATTTCTTTATCTCTTTTTTTTCCATGCAAATTCAGCAGCTCTAGTGAAACAGACAAGTAAATGATTTTAGAGGTTGGATTCACTCACTACTGTTTGAAGTAAATATATTTATTTGTATTTTTTCTCTTTAATTAGGTAATGTTTCAAAAACTTTTGCAATATTAAAGAGAGAGTAGAGAGGATAGTATGAGAAGAGGATAGTCAGAGAAAAATATTGGGAATAGAAATTATGAAGTTTAGTTAAAACTCTGAAAACAATAACAAGAGCCAGTGATGAAAGATGTGTTTAAAGAAAAAAATGCGAAACAGGAAGCGAGAGTTGCTAGAACTAGAGAGCAAGTGTTGCAGGGGTGCAGGGGAAGGGCTTTCACCAGGTCCTGAAAAATAGTAGAAAAGTAAAGAGAGCATCAGAGAAGAAATAAATGAGATATGTATCTGGAACAATCTATTATTGCTTTTTTGTTATTTGTAAGGGATATGTATGTTCTTTCAGAATTTTTCCTTGGAGGCTTGTTCACTTATTGCAGTTTACAATTATCTCCTGTATTTTACTCTAAGCATCCTCTTTGTTCTTACTTTAGGTACAGGAAGAGGACTGATGACAACAAGAGCTCTTCAGGTTAGTAATATTGATTCTAATGCAAGAGCATCTCTAGAATCATTTATATTTAATGGCTTTTATAACAAAGAAACTCAAAATTCCAGACGATGTTTGCAGTCCTTGTTGTGAGTGCAATTTCTAGCCTCATACCAGAAATTGTAGTTGCAGCTTATCTTAAATTATATTGCTGAGGACTTCTTGGCTGAAAATATTATTGTACTCATCAACAGTGATTCTGTATGCAGCCTTGTGTTTCTGTTAAAGGCAATAAGGGGCTAACTGAAACCAGAAGGACCAGGCTCCTTTCCTGCTGTATGCCTTCTCCTTTAGCCACTGGCTTGCATAGTTTCTTTCACGCTGGTTGCAGTAGTCTTCCCTGCTCTTGGGATAAGACCACAATAACACTATTTGGTAAATTCTCAGCTACAAAATAGAGAGATTTTTTCAACATAGTCACCACCATTAGCTACTCATTTTCACCAGCAGTGAACAAGACCCTGTGTGCTGCACTGCTAAAAATCTGCACCAGCAGAGGTGACCCGCTTGCACCACTCTGAAACACATTGCCCACTGCTTGACTGTGCTCACATCCACTGTTTGGTCTCCGTCAACATTCAGCAAGCATAAATGTCAGTGGGTACAATTTTTTCCACATGGAGGAATTCATTGATACACCTTTCCTTCATATACACTTCCATGTGAAACACCACTGTGTCAGATTCCTCTCTGCTGCCTCTGTCACATGGTAACAAAATGTAACAGAATATTGGTGGGAAAGTTCAAACCTCCGCTGCCATACCACTAATATCCACCTCTAAGATTGTGGGCCAACATAATAAAATTGGAGGAATTATTTACTTTTGGAGCAACCCTCATATCTTAGTACAAAGCAAGTGGTGATGCTGAATAGCCAGGCACCAAACTCTTTGTGAACATTTGACTTTCTTCAGGTGAAAGTTCCTACTGATTGCAGTCATTCTCTTTCCCTTGACTTTGACTGTCATAAAACCTTGCTAGCTTCCATTAAATTCAATATCACATCTGATTGGTTCCTGGAATTACTGTTTTCTGGGGAATATCTCTCTCTTTCTTTATAAATCAAATAGTAGATAAGCCATTTATACTTGACCTTTACTATTCTTTTCTTGTTTGTTTTGTTTTTGTTTTCCTCAAAGGCAGGAGAGCTGGTTATTTCATTGCCCGAAAAATGCTTAGTCACCACCAGCACTGTCCTTAACAGCTGTTTAGGAGAATACATTATGAAGTAAGTGAAAAGTGACATTCTGTGGCAAGAAAGGAAAACAAGACCTTTCAGCTATCCCTTCCTCTGGATTGTGAATTAGTAGACAAATTATCTTAAGTGGTGGTAGGACATAACTGCTTACCCTAATTTGTGAGCATTTATTGTGAACTTTCATGCATTTAGAATGTTCAGGAAGTGAGATTTGAATACAGAGTTGGAGAGAAGGTATGGGCTTGAATGTATCCTGCTTCTAGATCTAGCTCAGACCTACATAGCAGTAATGAACGGCTTCTTGGGAATTTCAAAATACCCTTCAGTAAGAGAAGGATAATAAAATGAGGCTACAAAGCAATCACATGAACACAGCCTTTTAGAAAATGCAGAACCTGGCCTGTGCTGGACACCGAGTATTTGTTGTGTGGCCTAAAAAAAAGCTGACAGAAAGAAAACCCAAGAGGTGAACCTGAAATTTTACCACAAACCAGTTTTTATAGCTTCTCAGTAAAATTAAGTCAAAAGCCCCTTAGAAATCATCAAAAGGACTTGGAGATTAACTACAAAGAAGTTTAAAATAGAAGCTATTTATAACCTTTTAAAGAACTAAGAGAGAGATAAAAAACTACTGCATCCATTTCCTGTCTCACCTCTGTATATCTGCTTTATTTTATTTTATTTTTTTAATAGATGGAAGCCTCCTGTATCTCCTTTGATAGCACTGTGCACATTTTTAATAGCAGAGAAGCACGCTGGTGAGAAATCTCTGTGGAAGCCATATCTTGATATTTTACCCAAGACATACACTTGCCCAGTTTGTTTGGAGCAAGAGGTAGTACAACTTTTTCCTGAACCTTTAAGAAAGCAAGCTCAGGAGCAAAGAACAACGGTCCATGAGTTGTACATGTCTTCCAAAGCTTTTTTCTCTTCTCTACAATCTTTGTTTGCTGAGAACACGGCAACTATTTTTAACCATAGTGCCCTGGAGTGGGCTTGGTGCACTATTAATACCAGAACAATATACATGAAACATTCCCAGAGGGAATGCTTTTCTCTTGAGCCAGATGTTTATGCATTGGCACCATTTTTAGATTTGCTAAACCACAGTCCAAATGTTCAGGTAAGAGACTGAAAATAGATCACTTAATAACTTGATATATATGAGCGTACTATTTCAATAAAGTATATATTTATGGGATAGATTAGGAGTGTTTGGAGGCCAGTGAGAGATCTCATAGTGGAGAAATTGTCTATCTGGAGGACACCTGCAAGCTGAGTATGCATGGTTCATATATATCCTGGAAGCTGTTATTCAGTAAAGCAGAAGTACAGGGAAAGCCCACAGTAACTGGATGCAATTTGCTTCCAGTGTAACAGTTAGGAAGAACCTGTTCACAAATATAACCCTTCTCTTCCCATGAGTTCAACTCCTCAGACTGTTACACAGTCCTTGTGTTACTTCACCTCTGTCTTAAAGCTTCTGGGTCATCTTAGGAAGTGTATAGAGCAGTTCCACTTGATAACAGGGGTGGAACTCTGTGTGCCAGCATATTTCTGGGACAGCACTAGTGTAGTCTGGTTTTATATGCAGATTTGGGGTAATAAGTCTTCAGAGTGGATGGCACATCCTAAGGTTTTGATTTTCATTGTTCATACTCATATTTTTTAGAGTAATTTTAGAGTGCAGTTGTCCAAATATGTTGCCTTTTCAGACATCTAAAACACTTGTTTGCACCTTATTGTTGCAGTATTAGAGAAGTACTTAATTCTGTTGGATTTTAATATTAAAGTTCGGATTCCCGTTCCCCCTGTCTTCCTGCCAAGAGTAAAATCTTTTGTTTTTAATTAACCATAGGTAAAGGCTGCATTTAATGAACAGTCAAGAAGCTATGAAATTCAGACAAATTCACAGTGCAAGAAGTATGAAGAAGTATTTATCTGCTATGGGCCTCATGACAATCAGCGACTGCTACTAGAATATGGATTTGTTGCCATTGATAACCCTCATAGCAGTGTTTATGTCTCATCAGGTTGGATTTATAGATTGTCTTAACATTGAAAGGTACAACAGCAGAGAGCAGAGTTTCTTCAACAGAAGGTGTGGTTGGAAATGGACAGCTAAAGGATGGTGAAGAAGTTCATATGCTTGTGTATACATTTATGCACAGTGCATATTAAGGCATTATGGTCTTTTTATCAAAATATTTATGTGTATTTCTAAGAACTGGAATAGAGCTCATTTTGATCTGCATAGGATTCAAAGATCAAAGTTTTTAAATTGAAGGTGTTTTCCATAAATTTTCCTTTTGTAGAATTGTGATTCTTACCGGCATTTATTCAGAGCTTCCCATGACTGGATGTCTTAGAGTTGTTGATAACTTTGATTTGAGTCATAATTTTCATTATAAGGATATAATTGTGCAGGTTGCTGATTGCTTTTGAGAAATAGTGAGCCCAAATATATTTTGATTATGTTAAAGTTTCCCCAAATTTAGCACTTTTCTCCTTTAGCTAATTGACAAATACAGGTGAAATGTCATTTCAGAATTGAGAATTGTCATTTCTTCTGCATATGATTTACATAAATGTTTAAATTTGTTTTTATGCAGATACTCTTTTAAAATATTTCCCACCATTGGACAAGCAGAAAAATGCAAAACTTTCCATTCTGAAGGATCATGATTTATTAGAGTAGGTATCTGATCTTCTTTGTTTCTATGTGAGCTTTCTTTTTTACTCTTCATTTTTTCTGGGAGTCAAATTTTGCTTCTGGCATCAAAATCCACCATCAAACCATGTTTATGTAGCAAACTGATTTGCTTGCTGCTTGTGAGAGAACATGCAATTGGTAAATACCAATATCAGAGCTTGAGATAGGCTTCAGTGTCCAGCCTGTCTTCCTTCTAACTGTGGATAGGAGCAGAGTAAGGCTAGTCAGTGAATCTTCTAGTTCTGAAGAGTGGGTTGACAATTGTCAGGAAGAAAGCTGTCAGGTCGTAGAAGACACCCTGTACCTTCTGTATCTCAGCACTTTCTGACTTTTTAGAAACTTGACCTTTGGATGGGATGGACCATCTTGGAGACTTCTTACAGCCCTCAAGGTCTTAAGTCTTGGAGAAGATGAATTGTAAGTTTCAGTACAATATTTAAAAAATGTGCACGTGTCGTTTTCCTTTATTTGTTCTTTGCTGCCTGTGAGACACTGGGAGCAATTGTTCTGGATCTCCTGTATCTATCTTACTGACTCCGTGTGAGAAAGGAAAAGAAGAAAGTCAGAGAAAAGAACATATTGTAAAGTCATTGCTTATTTGTTGCTTTGATCTTTGACTTTCTTGTATTAAACACTGTGCACACCCCATTGTTTTCCCTTTCTATTTCAAGAACCAGATGTTTCTTTAACATTCTGACAGCAGACAATTTTACTGTTGATTTGATGGAACTTTTAAGTGCTATCCACCTTGCTTGATTTCTTTGACATGTGCTTCACAGACTGCTTCTGAAATTTTAGGGCTAAGAAAGTTGTTGAAATCCATCTACAGTAGCTATCAGTGCAGTTTTGATCATTTGTTCCAACTGACACATTTGCCTTAAGAAGGATTAATAGAAAAAAAAAAACTTTCTAGGTTTTGATTTAGATAACTGTTTATCCTTCAAAGATTGATCGGTGAGTGGAAAAAGTTGGTTATAAGAATTAAAAATAAATCCCATTGACACCAATTTTAGGCCCATAAAATATGTCAGTATGTAAAGTGAAGCTTAGCAGAAGCTGTGCTAATAAGCTCTAAGAGTACAGCTTGTTCTACTAACTGGTGCTGCTGAAGTTGGTGGCAGCATGACAAAGCAGTAGAGCATTGGTCCAAGTGCAGACTGTTACTTTGTCTGAAAGGGTGAGGTTGGAGGACTTGAATTGCTGCTCTGGATTATTAAATCTTCTTTTTATCTTGCTTGTCTCTTCTTTGTGCCTTTTTCAGATATGGTAACCTACATTTCTTTATGCCAATGATGTTGTTCTTAATATAACCATATATTTATTATTCAGTTGTGGAATGCAGCAAGTGATTATGTGTTGTTTAAACATTATGCTTCTAGTACTTGCTGGAGGAGAGCACTGCTTGGTGATGTAATTTCAGCCAGAAATGAACAGCAGGCTTTGAATATAACAACAAAGATATGCCATTTTTTAATAGAGGAGACACAGCATGTCCTTCTGCAGGTAATTTGGCTAGAAGAACCAATATTCTCAGGTAGCTGAGATATTTTCTATCTCTAGCATAGATGTACAGCAGTGTAATTTTCTGGGTTGAGAATGGAGTGATTGGGGTAATTGACTTCACTGGGGTGGTGTAGGGGTTTGTCACGAGGGTTAGTGACACCCCTAAATTAATTGCTCAGCAGAATTTGTGGCTGCAGCAGAGAAACAAACCATGTTACAGAGCTTATGCATGTTGTGGTTTAACCTGGGAAGCAGCTAAACACCGCACAGCCTTTCCCTAATTCCTCCCACCTCCCAGTGGGTTAGGGGAGAGAATCATTTAAAAAAAAAAAAAAAAAAAGTAAAACTCATAGGTTGAGATAAAAACAATTTATTAAGACAGAAGAGAGAAATAACAATAATGATAATAATTACTTATATTTATATCTATACGTTTATAAAACCAGCCATGCGCAAAGCGGTTGCTCGCCACCTGCTGCTTAATGCCATCTAGTCTCCAAGCAATGGCAGCCCCTGACCAACTGTCATCAGTTCTGTAGGTTTTTTTCATATTAATTCATATGCTATAGAATACATCTTTGGCCAGTTTAGGTCTGATGTCCTGGTTCTTTTCCTCTCCCAGCTAATTGTGCTCCCCCCAGTTCCCTTACTGGCAGGACAGGCAGGACAGTATGAGAAGCTGAAAATCAGAAACATCCTTGGCTCTGTACAGCACTGCTCAGCAACAACTAAAACATCAGGACGTTACAAAGCACTGTAAACAAGTGAATCATGTTTAACGTTTCTCTACCTACAGTATTAATATATTTGTTGAAGTTACTTAAAAGAAAATGCAGACCTAAATTAGGCACATACGGTGTTGCAGACCTGCCTCGTTGCACTGCCCTTCCTCTCCTTTTTGGTATGCTACCTATCCACATGATGATTGTTTCATTCTTTTTTCAAAACAACTTTTACATAAAGATAAAAAACACCCTGTATTTCGACATAGTTGCACGGGATCCCTATGGAAAGTGAGCTGTCCACAAAGTTTCTGTTCATATACTATATTAAATAATTGGAATTTTGAATAATTTCATTCCATTTGTATAAACTCCAGATTTTCCAGATGAAGAGGGACAAAGAAAACCTCAAAGAACAGCTGACTTTGGTAGAAGCACTACGCTTAGAAGATCTGAAAATACTACAGAAATCAGCAGAGATTCTTTGCAGCTTGAACATGACAACAGTTTGATCCACCTGGGACTGTGATAACTGCAGCTGATCTCAAATGGATCTCATTTGCTATGGACATGACTTGCTCAACTGTTTTAATGGACCTGGGCAGCAAAGAATAACAAAAGTCATCATAAAGTGCCCAGCTTAGTTTGCAGGATCACATGGGCACCAAAGGCTTATTTTGTCCTTTGCTGATCTTCAGTAATACAAAAGGTTAGCCCGGAGGGTAGGGAGGAACATAGGCAGCTTTCATCACACCTCATCCAAATCATAATTGCTTTGAGCAAAACAGCTTATGGGGTAATTTGAGCAGCTCTAGCACTGGGGACTCCAGCAGTCGGACCTTCTGATCCATGCCTATGGGGCAAAGGCATGGATCAGAGGGTCAGGCGTACACTCCTCAGTATATATTTTGAGTTCTGGCACTTGACAGAGAGCGAAAGGAGGGAGCTAATTGTATATATCCAGAATAAATCCTTTATCTTTTCCCTGAGACATGTGCAGGTGCCCAAGAATGAGTAGTTTGCAGAGTGTCAATTCTTTATGGGAGCAATAAATGTGGACTGGAGCAGAGATTGCAATCAGCCCTTTTGTGACTGATGCCAAACTGTTCCCTGCACAGTTTCAGTTCATGTTTCTTGAACTTAAGGAAGGGAGATTTTTTTTTGCTTTACTCTCAGTGCTTCCTCCAAACTCACTAGTTTGTATTCTGACTCCTCCTGCTGGAAATGAGAACACAAAGGATGTTATCAGTTTGGAAGCCCACCCAGACGTTTCATTCTATTTTCTGTCATTTCTGGTGATGACACTGACAAACGTTTTAATCTTGCCTTCAAGAGGATATTCTCATGAGCTACCTTTCATTATTAGTTCAACCTAAATAAGGAGCTCATGGTTCCTATGTGGTTTAGGAGAAGGAAGCTTCTTCTAAGAGTGTTTCCAAGCAGGATCCATGTCTAAGCTTTATAAACTTTGTAATTGTTGTTGTGTTGTAATTATTTCCCATTGTGTGGAGATTCATGTTTTGTAATTTTTCATTAATACTTCTAGGCCTTTTAAAGAATTGTGCTTTTAAAGAATGTTTATTTTTGTAATTATAGGGATTAATTTTCTACAAGACTGTTACCTATTTTTTAAATAAATGAAATTATATATGGCAATAAAAGCATTCTAGCTAATATCATTTAAAGAAAAAAATGCAGCAAATGAAAACTTCTAAGAAATAAGCTAGCATAAATGTACTTTCTGACTTTTCTTTATGAACATTCATTGTGAACAAGAGAGTTATTGTATAAACTTGATTGGATTTGAGGATTCCAGGGGTTTTCCTTGCTGTTTCTTTTCTGCCTTGTTCTATTTGGGACACAAAATATCTATTTGTCATCTCCCAGAATTCTTGCATCTCACTTATGTCCCAGTCCTGTCGATGACATCTGTTTCTTTTTTTTTCCCCTACCCCCCTTTACCAAACCATGGAGCTCTGAGAAAGGCTTTTCCTTAACTGGAAAAGTGTATTGGCTTAGATATACAAGAACCAGGGGGACTGGGAAATAACCACTTGTTGTTAATCAGATTCCATGTCACTGAAAACAGAAGTTGTTCTTGGTTTTGAGGTGCCATCCTCTTAATTATACCTAGGATTAGGAAATTCTGAAAGTGAGGTATTTTTGCTGTTGTTTGCCTGAGCCTGCTAAGACTCTTGTACTCCCACACTTTCTGGATCATTCATGTGGGGGTGCTGCCAGTATGTGGTTTCTTTGTATTTCACAGCAGAGAGCAAAGTGAATTGACTGGGAGAGGAACTGGAGTGCTTCCAGGAACTAGAAGAATGTGTATTATATCCTTTGGACCAACTTAATTTTGTATTTGCTTAAACTGTGATTTTAACCCATGTAAATCACCACAGTTAATACACTGGTCATGTACTGAAATACCCCCTCGAGGAGATGACTTTCTGCTTTTCTGCTAATCCCACCAAGGGCAATCTTCATCATCTTGCCTGAGAGTCCTTCTGTATCACTGAACATGGCTACAGCAAAGATGGCAGAGCTGAGAACCTGACGCTGACAGTTACTAGCCCAAAAAGCAGTTCAGTCTTGGGTAGTTCCCGGATTCCAAAGTAGTTGAAGGGAGTATTGGTATGCTAAGTATTGTATATGCTCAACCTGTTCTTACTCTTGTTAAGGTGGGAGAAAGAGGAATACTGGACTAGAGAGACTCTTGCTGTGAATATGTTCTACTGTTTTTATGATTAGCATTGAACTGGTTGCCTTCTTAGATTGTTTTCATAGTATGTTTTTTATTCTCTAAGAAAATATATGTTTCCCAGATATGGTAAAGCTACACAGTCTCATTGCAGTCAGTAGGGCCATGTTAGCTTAACCTAGCTGAGTATCCAGTTTTTTTGTTTTTTCCCTTATGTTGGAGGTTTTGAGATAATTTTTTACTGAGATAGTACTGTCCTTAAAGAAGGTAAGTGGCTTTTTTCTTATGCCTTTCAAAATGGATACTACTTTGACAGAAGTTTATTGCAGTATAGGCCACACCAGCTGGTCTGAATATGGGCTCTATCCACTTCTGTAACTCCTACACTCTCTGAGAGACTATAGGAGGGGGATCTGGCAGTGCAAGATATTATGCAGCCTGAATTGCTTGTCTGTCTCTTGGATGTAAACACAGCAATAAGCCCCCAGCTTTACTTTAAGCACTGTAGCAAGTGTTCTGAGTAAAACCATGTGTGTTTAATGTCAAAGACAAATTCCTGCCCAAATAAATTACGGAATGGGACTAGCATTTTTGTAAAGCATCAATAGCAGTACATTTTTAACATGAATAAACTGACACAGCATAGGTAATGAATCAGCATTTATATGTATATTTACAGGTGTCATCAGCGAAAGCTTAGGTACTTCTTTTGAATCAAACCAGAGCTATAGGCCAAAGGGACATCCTAAGCTGATCTATGAGGTAGGGTGCCTGAGGAAGGAACTGCACTGGGAATGTTCTCCAGCTGTTTTAGAGAACATTAAGTCATTTTCAAAGAGTGAAGATACTGTCAGTCTCCATCCAGAACCCCTTTCAGCTTCAAACATCTTGTAGCTTTAGTGACTTGCTGTTAACATTTGGCTCTGGCTATCTGTTAGTCTAAAAAGAAATTTAGCTGTGATTCTAGTGTGGAAAGATATGATTTATTTTCTTCTTGTTAAAAATTTCCTTTCAGATCCTATCTGCAAATCTCAGCAGTAGGAATAAACAGCTTTTCACCATTGGCAATACAAACCTAGTATAGACCATGGCGGTGAGCTAGATTCTTTTCCAGCTTGTGCACTATTACTCAAAGAGAGCTGAAGTAGGACTGCGTTGTGTGACTGCAGAGTAGACACTGAGTTTAGATTGGTGCAATGAGAGAAGCTTTATGTTCTGTGATAAAAATGTGAGAGAGAAATAGTACAACTTATTTTTTTATTTTATTTTTACTTTTAGGGTAGGGGGAGTTGATCTACTGCAGCCTCAAGTCACTGAAAAATGATAAACATGAAACCTTATGATAGTATCTTTCCTGTGTCAATTTATGTAAATACGGCATGGATTTTCTTTGATCTTCTACAGAGAGTGGCTTCTAGTTTACAGTTTTCTTCAGCTGCAATGTGGAGCTCATCCATCATTGCTAAGTGCCTTTAGACCTGTCTATTCAGGACAAGATAAGGGAGTATCAACTCTCATACTCTGATAATTAAAGCTTTTAGATGCTCTATGAAAACATTTCAAAGATGACATTTCTAAAGAAAGAGCTTTTAAAAGTGATGTCTCCCAGGGTATGTAGCCCCTCCCTTACTTAGAAGGTAAATAATACCCCCTTTAAAAATGCCACACTTTGGCATAATTTGAAGTGATTGTTTGCACTTGGTGCATCTGTGACTACAGATAGGGTGAACAGTAAGACTGAAGGAAATTTTTCCATCAAACCGATAAGTTTGATTAGACAATAAACATGAAGGAAAGTTGTTATGAGATTTACAAGGATTACCTCATTTTCTTGAGGAGTCTGGAACAGCAATTGGTTTTGAGCCATGTGAGAGTCATAATTTTTATCATTTCAGCGCAAAGGGAAATCAGCTCAGTGACTGGAATTAGCTAAAAGAACTCAATTGTATTCCTGTCTGTAACAAAATTTAGGCAGTGTTAGCCTGTTGGAGATTGGAGTAGAAAGTAAAACAAAAAATATTTCCAAGATTTGCTCTTGAGTGCATACTTTTAATTCTGGAATTAATTTTTAGAAATCACTGTGATGAGCTATATTAAGTGGAAAAGGAAGGATATTTAATGAACCCCAAACTATACTGGGTAAAACTGGTGCAATTTCTGCATTGTCCACTAGATGATGCAGCTGTATTACAGAGAAATAGAATTTATGGCATAGCTACATGCAACTGTAATTCTATATTCTATATTATATTTTAGCAGTAGACAATGTAGTTTTCAATGGATACACCGTAGTTAGTATTACATAAATAATTAAAAGATGTGGTTTTCTTTCTAATGAGTTCAGTTGAAACTTGAGGATACATAGACTTCTGTCTTCTTTCACTTTTATTGTATTTTAACTTTGTTGGAGTTGCTCCTTTCTCGAGTTAAATCAGGTTGCTCTTCCATGAAACTATCACCTGAGCCATAACTAATGAGTCACATCATCTTTATTATCATAATCCTAATGCTTTAGTTAGTGGGGTTGCAATGTCTACTCGTGTGTCTTGTTTGTTAGAGTTTAGGTGCCAGATGCAATCATTTGCATAAGTCTCCTCCAATAATGGCCTTTGATGTAGCTGAATGAACTCTGATTGAAATATCTCCTCTGGGCACAGTGTTTCCGTGGACTCTACCTAGTGACTGTTCTCTATTCTATAATAGTAATAAGCTGATATTTAACCACTAATTTCCTTCTCTGGAAATTTCTTCCCTGCCCATTTTCATAGAATCACAGAGTGGCATAGTTTGGAAGGGAGCTCAAAGCCCACGCCACCTCAACCCCTGCCGTGGGCAGGGCTGCCCCCCACCAGCTCAGACTGCCCAGGGCCCCATCCAATCTGGCCTCCAGGAATGGGGCACCACAGCTTTTCTGGGCAGCTGTGCCAGCACATCACTGCCCTCTGAGTGAAAACTTAGCCCTGACATGTAACCTAAATCTTCCCTCTTTTAGCTTAAAACCATTCCCCCTTTTTCTACCACTATCAGACTCTGTAAGAAATCAGTCCCTCTTCTGTTTACAAGCTTCCCTCAAGCACTGGAAGGCTGCAATGAGGTCTCCCTGGAGCCTTCTCCAGGCTAAAGCTCAGCTTCTCATCCTGTCTTCACAGGAGAGGTGCTCCAGCCCTCTGAGCACCTTTGTGTCCTCCTCTGGACCTGCTCTGACAGTTCTTTTTTTGTGCTGGGGGCCCAGGCCTGGACGCAGTACTCCAGATGGGGCTTCACAAGGGCAGAGCAGAGGGGGACAATCGCCTCCCTCTTCCTGTGGACCACCCCTCTTGTGATGCAGCACAGGATACTATAGTCTTTCTGGGCTCTGAGCACACACTGCCGAGTCCTTCTCCACAGGGCTGCTCTCAATGAGTTCTTCTCCCAGACTGTACTCACATGCCAGGACCAAGTGTAGCACCTTGCACTTGGTCTTGTTGAACCTCATTATGTTCCCATGGCACCACTTTTCAAGCCTGCCCAGGTCCCCCTGGATGATGTTCCTTCTATTGTAGCAACTGCACCACTCAGCTTGGTGTCACCAGCAAACTTACTGAGGGTACGCTCAGTCCCACTGAGTATGTAATTGATGAAGATGTTAAAGAATGCCAGTCCCAAGATAGGCCCCTCGGGGATGCCACTTGTCACTAGCCTCCACCTGGACATAGAGCCAATGACCACAACCCTCTGACTGTGACCATCCAAGCAATTCCTTAACCATCGAATAGTCCACCCTTCAAATCCATATCTCTCCAATTTAGAGATAAGGATGTGGTATGGGACCATGTCAAAGGCCTTGCACAAGTCCAATATGACATCAGTTGCCCCGTCTTTGTCCACTGACGCTGTTACTCCATCATAAAAGGACTTCAAATTGGTCAGGCACGAGACTGCTTATTATTGTTGATGTATATTTGTTTCCCAAGGACTCCTGAAGCACTTAGTGTGTGTCTACACTGTACATCTTTGAGACTCTTCTGGATTGTCCCTGTTGTCCTGTAGATAAAAGAGTGAAGAGAAATGCTGCTTGCAAAGCTACTGTTTACTTCTGAAATCCTCTCTCCTGTTCCTAATTTCCTCTGTCTCCAGTGCTGTATCATACTGCAATATGCCAATCTTGAAAGTGCTGAAGTGGATTGAGCTCTAGTAGCACCATAAGCATGTCAGGAGGCAGGGAATTTACAGTGCACTTCTGAAGATTACTTTCCCTTTTTACATACACCTGCACATTTCCAGTGCCTTACCCCTCCACAGAGTGCTAGAGTTGAGCTGGAGAAATTGGTAGATAAGCACCATGTCCTTTGCAGATACATCCAGATGAACAGATGTGCTATTTTAGTTGTTCCTTCCTGCTGGGGCTGCTCTGGAAGGAGCTGGCAGTGGCATTTCAGCTCTTTTGACCTTTGGCAGACAATGATGACCATGGAGAGGACAGAGAGACATTCTCAGCGTGAGGCTGGTGCCATGTCTGTCTGTACCACCCAGCCTGGGCCAGCTTCCAGAGTCTGTATCTCTATCCTTAAGAAGCCAGCTCTCTTTACAAGAAAGATCCAGTACATTTGTGTATCCTTCCCATGAGATGGACTTCATATGGACAAAGATGCTTGGGTGTGGGAGGGCTGGTCTGCAAAGGATGTTGGCAAGAGATCATAAGGGCCTCTGCCATCCCAAGATGACTCACACTGCTCTGAAATGTTTCTAAGTATCACTTAAGATGCTGAGCCCCTGGAGTGGGAAAACTCTGTGTGGGTCATGGGAGACTCCTAAAGAACTGCTGGAAGTGCAGTGTGGTCTTGGCTATGGAGGTGGAAGGGGAAGGGTGAGCTAGAACAGGAGGAACAGCATGGCCGCACTGGACAGAGGATGTGCAATGGGGTGCACTCATGATCAATCCTTTGAGCATAATCCAAGGCTAAGACAGAGGATAGTCAGAGAGATGGGCTTTGAGGGTACAGCCAACAGCACTCAAAGGGACAGCATGGGTGTGACTGCTGCTTTGAGACTACTATTTTTATGTCACATTGGTACAAACTGGCTAATGTATTCAGAAAATAAAGGAGAGAAGAGAGAGGA